ATTTAAGTTACATGAGACAAGAATGTTAATCCTAGGCTATATACAGACTGCTGCATACAGGGTGCACATTGCCAATACATTCTAAACAACATGAACAAGTAAACAAGGAGACCTCAAATTAACCAGATGACTCTAGTAATTGGAAGGGCCAATAGCAGGACATTTTCTCCCCACAGGGTGTTGTTTTCCATCCTGCAGATAAAACAGCATGCTCCAAAGAGCACAAGTGTTCCACAAGGAGCTAGGAGGCACAAGGGTGATAGCTGAAAAACAAAGTCAGAGCAGGACAGCTGACAATCTCAAGGACTGGTTAGTAGACATGACATAACTGCATGCTCCCAGCAGGTGAAAACAACAAGCCAACCTAAGCCTCTCACACCAAGTTAGCATAATAATTACCCATTTACTCAGGATGGTAGGCTGTTTCTTGGGCTAATAATTTATTACATGGACTTTTCAGTGACCAACAGGCACAGACAAAAAAAAAAAAAAAAGAATCAACAGCAATCAGTGATTTTATTTATCTCCCTCTGTTGCACAGCAGCTTCTTCCCAGTTGGCTCAATGCCTTTTCGATCTAACAAGCTAAAAAGGCAGTTGTCCAAATGTCACCAGTCAAACATAGCGACAGATATGAAGGAAGAATGGACTAACACTGGACCAATGTAGGAAGGGGTACAGTGCTTTTATGTTTGAAAGAGGGAGATTAAAATACTTTGACTATAGATGGACCTACCTAGAAAGAGAGAAGCCCATTAAGGACCATTACACACTAAACTCCCACTTGAGTTTGGTGTTGTGCTAGGGCACTGGCCAAAGCAAACTAAACTAATCTGACTTCTGATTACCCTGAAGGAAAGACAAAGAAAAAAGAAAGTGTAAGTCAGTGAAGTGAATGCTGAAACACAAAAGACATGAAGAGCAAGGGGGGGGGGGGGGCATGAATGGAAGACAATTAAGCATTATCTAAAAAATGTTTCAGATGTATACTCTGCAAACAGCAATTCCACCCAAACATATAAAGCCAACCAAAAGAAATTTTTGCAAGGAACACCAGGAGTCCTGGACAAAAATATTTAAAGCATTACTGTTCCTGTTAACAAACAAGAAACAACCCAAATGTTCACCAAAAGGAGAATTATGATATATTCATACAATGAAATTCTATCCGTTAGTGAAAATATTTAAACTAGAGCCACTATACCCCACTGACGAGTCTCACAAGCTTAATGCTCAGTTAAAACACACTAACACAACTGAATTAATTCACAGAACACATACAGTGTGACGGCACTTACATAAATTTCAAAAACACTCAAAACTAAAAAATACTGTTTAGCGATGCATGCATGCAATAGAACTTTTAAAAGACAAGGGAAATAATAAACACACAATTCAGGATAGTGTTTACCTTTGTGGGGGGAAGTAGGGGATATGGTCAGGAAGGGCATCCTGAGGGCTTCAACATAATTTATAATGCTCTATTTCTTAAGCTGAGTCATGTATAGAAATGTACTTTTCATCAGTTTGTAAAATACCCTATCTAGGAGATATGTGTGTGTGTGTGTATGTGTATAATTTTGTATGCAAGAAACGACTCAAAATAAAGGGAGGGGGAGATAAATAGAGTTGAGGCTGGTACCAGACAATACTTCCTAACCCCCACTTACACATCCATCTACCCAAGGCTGGACTAACACAATAAGGAGCAAGTCCAAAACTCCAAGGCAACAGAATCGGCTCAGTTTAGAGGTGACAAAAAGATCACCTCCAGGCACTTTTCTGGGCTTACTAGGTGAAACCAGCTCCAGTGTCTGTTCATGGGGTAAACTGTAAGACACTGCACACTGTCCCCAAAGAGTTGGAGAAACACTGCTTTGCCAATACAGAAAGAGAAAACATCACAAACTCAGGCATATTTTAACCAATGAAAGGAAAGTCCCCAGATGGTTCCAACAGACAGAGGAATGGACTGAATTTAAGGAAAAAGGCAGTAATTTTATGTAGCCTTCCAGGGCTGGAAGAATTTGTGACTAGCTACTGGGGAGGGAGGAGGGGATGAAAAATACACTTAAAGACACATTAAATAGGACTTTTACAAGAGCACAGAGGCCAGGACAGAATGTGTGTAATCTGAAGCCCAAATGAACGTGTGCGTACTGAAGACTAGAAGCCTCAAGGGTTACTCTATGGGCTTTACCTGGCAGAAGGTGACAACGGAGTTTGGCACACGCTGAGTATATTGGGAAATAATAATATCAAAAGACATCTATACCACATCTATGTAACATATGTACAGCCCACGGGCGCCAACGAGGCAAGGAAAAGAGTCTGTGACATTCGCAGGGAAACTGACCGCCAGGAAGGCCGGATTCGGTCAGATCGAAGAGAGAAGGCCCCGGGCTTAGAGTCCAGAAGGCCCCAATCGGGGAGAGGAAAAGGGTGGTCTCGGGCCGAGGCAGAAGGTGGGGCTGCCAGGAGAGGGCGGGGTCCCCGCAGGAGGAGTCCTGGGAGGCCTGGCAGGAGCCAGGCAGGAGCCAGGCGGGGCAGCCAGGGGGAATCCAGGGAGGGGGCGCTCCCTTGGGCGCTGGGACGGGGAAGAATGAAAAGGCGGGGGGGCCTGTCACAGACCCGGCCCTGCGGCCCCGAGGGCCCGGTGCCCCCCGCCCGCCGCTCACCTGGGCACGCAGCTGGACGAGCTCCGGTCCACCTCCCAGGTGGCGTACAGGTTCATCTGCACCGGGGCGGGGGTGCGGCCTGGCCCCGGGCCGGCGGGAGGCGCGGAGCCGGAGGCCACCGCGACGGCCATGGAGGTGGAGGTGGACGAGGACGAGGAGGAGGCGGCCGCCGCCGAGGTGGACGAGGACGACGAGGTGGCCTGGGCCAGCTTGGGGGGCGTCGGCTGCTGAGGCGGCGGCTGCTGCGGCGGCTGCTGCTGTTGCGGGGACTGGGCGACCCCAGAGCCCCGCTGGCCGCTGCCGCCCCCGGCGCCTCCAGGACCACCACCCGCCCCTCCGCGTTCAGCCATGGCCCGGCCGGGGGTGGGGGGCGCGGGGGTTACGGGGACCCGGGCGGCGCCGAGAGGACGCCCAGGCTTCTCCCACGGCGGCGGCG